TATACATTGCAGAATGCGGATTGAGTACGAGTAATTTATCCACGGTATCCAAAAATGCATCTGTCAAGGCATCGTCATATATCACTATAGGGATTGAAAACACTCTCAGATTGTAGAAGCAGAAATGTTTCTTTTTGTCTGAAATCAATATACACAACCCTATATTAGTTCGCCCAGTCTCACTGAAAATAGTTTTCCCAAAAACATTGTTTCGCTTACCATCTGATGCCATTATCACAGACAGCCGTTTAAGGTCATTTTTATCCTCTTTTGTCCATTTATGATCATGATCCATGTCATCTTAAAAATTATATAATATAACTAATCTTAAAATAACACTACAGTTTATATACAAAAAAAATAATAAACTATAAAAATTAGTCTAAAAATCTATATGGCTGCCTATGGCATGACCTTGATATGATACAATGTAAAAGCATCTCACCAGTACCTAATATACGGGATGAATGGAAGAAATCTAATTCCCTTATAACCATAACTTCATTGTCTATATCAAAATAGTAAAAAAAAATAAATAGCTTAATTGCTTTAACTAAATGTTTATTATGATACGATGATTTCTTCAAAATCGCTGCGGTAACAAAAGTATTAACAATGCATGTTAACAATTGTATGGGCACACAGGAGAATCTGTGTCTGGAATTTGGCCCTTCATCTAGTCACACTTCACACGGTTTATCTGTGTACATGCAGATTTGAGCACTGTCACTATAAAGCGCATTTCATAGTTTCTAAAAGCAGTTTCCAAATCTCAAACTGAAATTATATTACATTTTAAATTTAGATGAACACATTTGCCTTTTACACGGACACAAAATGTGTAAAAGGTCAGGATTAGTAAATTTTAATGCCTGATTCTTGGCAGGCCGGGAAGAGCGTGACCCAAGAAAAGTGTATTAGCCAAACAAAGGAAAAGGGAGGGTTGGAATATTTGTGGACAGATCACACTCTTAATTATATAAAGTATGACAGAAAAACAATTCTTGGAATGTGCATGCAGTAGAATTTACAAAGAGCTTCTGTTGGGTATATGGATGGCAGGTACCATTGCTCGGTATCACGAAACGTAATACACTGGCGGTCAAAAAGAACTGCTCAAATGTTGCTATTATCGTATGTAACTGTTTAAATACAAATTCATAAAAAACGAGCGAATATAGGAGAGAGCTTCATAGGCATTTTGGATAATTTTCTTATTCCAAGCAATATTTCAATAATGTAATGCAACCTGCCACACTTCCAAGATATTTAAACAATGGTTTGATGAAAAGAGGGAGTGACAGAATTGGATTGGTCTGCACAGTCAAAAGACCTTAACCCTATTGAAAATCAGTGGGACAATGTCAGGGAGATAGTGCAAAGGGTCCTTGATTTATACGTTGCTGTAAAGAATGTCCATAGGATGAATTTCTTTTGACCGTGAAGATTACCACCTTAACAGAAAGTATGCCACGCCGGTGTAAGGCCGTCATCAATTATAAGGCCAAAGGAGGGTCAACAAAATATTAATATTTCATATAGCTTAGCATGTAATCTAGCCTATATTTACTCGTATATATTGTTAAAGGGACAGTTACGTTCATTTGATAGCATTTTAACTTTTGAGCAGTTCTTTTTGACCGCCAGTGTATTATTAGTTGATATATAACGTTGTAGCTACGTACACTGTAGCAAAATGTACCTGTTGTTGCATACTTGAATATATCGTGATTCCTGAGCTTGTTTGACTCGCAAACGTCCAAAGAATCGCGGATATCTAAAGAGATTCATGGCAAATGAGAATAATTGATCATCCAAAATTAGCTACAATAATACTTGAAAACATGCAGTATTCCACACATGGCAAATTCGAAAAATATTTGGTAAAATTCGATAAACTATAAGACAATGGGAAAATTACGCAAGATATACCCAAGGTTTTACAAGATCCTGGCAAGATAAGCTAAGATTTTGCATGACATAATGATGGTAAGATCTCACTGGAAAAATCTTGACCAATCATAAGATTCAAGATCTCGGGGAAAATCTTGACATGATATTATTTTTCAGAAAAGAACTTGGAAAGATCGTGTGTCAGATCTGGATCATGTTATTTTTACGACTCCCCTAGCAATTGGGGTCGTAAACTTGCAATCGTCATGTAAATATTGTACGACTCCACAAAATATTGATTTTATTCAGAATAAATCTTCCTAGGATTTGTCAAGATCTTGCCAAGTTTGTAAACTTGAGAAGGTAATATACACGTTTGAAGGATAACTCTTACTGTGTAGAGATCATGACATATAACAGTGCAATGCTGTCAGGAAATCCCATATACTAGTTCCTAACTTCCTACCGGTACAAAATACTCTTTTTGCAACTCTAGCCATCACAATACTGCACAGGCCTACTCCACCGCCCAATTCTAAGGCTATACAACCATCAAACCTAAAAAAAGTACTCCATTAGTTCCTTAAATAGTGTATAATAAATCCAATATTCACAATAAATGTTTAGTTGTAGATTTAGTTCATTATGATTAATAAAATTTTTAAACAAAATGCAAAAACTCTTGCCTCATTGAAAATTTAAACAGTCAAATTAAGGGAAGCTGTGTTTAACAATTATTACACCAAAGAATCGTGGAGGTGGGGAACAGGGGGTCTTGTCACGAAATCACGAAGGATTTTTTGCAGATTTCACGAATCAGGAAGAAGATAATTTCATTTTCATGATTTTTTAAACACTCCGGCCTAAAGGAGACACTACGAATCTTTAAAGATGTGACCACAGTGTACGAAGTTCTACAAAAATCTACGACTAGTTAAATGAAGCGGAAAGCAAATGTTTTGATTTTATGACCTTTAATTAATTTAATTGAGGCCTAGTATTGAACCTAAAAATTTATAAGTAGTGGCAAAATATTGGTGAAATTAAGATGCCTTATCCAGCATTTTAGGTCTTCACGATTCACGGAATGGCTTTTTCTTAAATCACGAATCAGGATACACAAATAACACTAATCACAGGTCCTTGCATCGACCGCCCCCCCCCCTCCCATCCATGCAGTAAATTGATCTTTTACTGACTTTTGCCAGTTTATTGACTTTGTTATAACTTATAATTACGGGCAATTCGATTATAATTATGAACAAACTTGTCATTTGAGAACAGAATGACTAGAAATGTACCGGTATAATTATTATAACAATCTGCTTACTCTTTTTCATTGTGGATAAGAAAGTCACAAAGCAGCATTGAGCCCTGCCAAACCTATGTAATAATAAATCATAATTTATAAGGGAACCACAATTGAATTGATGAATTCCTTCAAAATGACAACCTTGAGTGAGGGGTTGAGGGATCCAGCTGTGTTGACAGTAATATTTATGTGAATAAGTTTTGGAAGCCTGGTTAAATTATAACACTCACTAATTATAAATAAGATATTTTTCAAGTATGCTAGCTTTTTACACAAGCATTTTTGGCCACAAAATGTGTGTCCAAATTTTCTTGTTTCAATAGCTGCCATACCAATATGTGAATAGCTGAGTAAAGTCAATTGCAAAGGGTCCCTAATGTTACATCAGTCAAAAGCAGAGAATTGCTCTTAAAAACTAATTGGTGCAATATTCGCAAGCATTATAAATGAAGCAATTAAACTGACTTTGAAGTAAATAACTATAAGCTAGACCAACCATGCCAGACATTTAAAAAATATTAAATAACCTTTTAGTATGTACCTGTGTTCCAACACTTTTAATAGGAGTTGCAAGGGTGTGTTCTGCAATGAAGATATTTGCCATTATAATACAATTTTATTGATACTTAAGTGACTAATTATTACAAACGAGTAAAAGGGCACAACTTTCATTGGGTAACAAATAGGATTGTGTGTAGGGAATTATAATAGGAAATAATGGTATAAAATAAAATAAAATATATAATGTTGTGTTCAGCTATTGGTTTTGTTCGTACCCCAAGCACCACCCAGGCCGCGCACTAATTGATACTCCTAGCTCACCTGCATGCCATAATTAATAGTTTCATGCAATGTTATATGTTTTTCCTCTAAAGTGCCTGGGCACAAGGCTGGAATTATATAGTCAATATTTTTGACTTGCATTTTGTATTCACACCCTTACAGCTAAGTTTTTCTATGTTGCACTAACATACCGATAGTTATAATATTTCGCTCAACATCATTTTCAAATCTTGGAATAATCATGTCACCATCTTCATCATAATTGACCAGTCCTTCATTCTCTTTATGCTTCAATATTTGTTTATCTGACGTATAAGGTTTTTGAGCATTGCATAGTGGACTACCATGTGGAGTAGTGAAATGAAATCTTGACAGTGCTAAAAAATGCACATAAATGTTAAAGGTGTTCATAAAGAAGAGGCCTTCAAATACCTTAGATTGTTCGATGTTGATTTATTTATAATACTTAGCAGTACCATATAACCATAACAGTCGTACATCAAAACTAATGATCAAGACTCAGGGACAGATTTTCTGGGGGACACTAGAAAGATTTGCATCTCCTATAAAATTTACAACGATGCAACGTTTTTCTTGGATCGTGATGCATTTGTGCACGATTAACGTTGTTGTCCTTTTACCTATTGACCTATTATACAAATGGAGGTGGTATTAAATTGGTATATAAGACGACATACAGTACTGTATGCAGTATCAACTTTATCCATCAGTGATTTCAACCACTAACATATACACTGTATAGTGTATACCATACCGTAGTTTCCTTCCTCTATGGGAGTGAATGTCTTATAAACATGAACTTCTGATAAAACAACGTCTTCAATGCAGTCATTATCGAGGTCATTCTCGTCTTTTAATGCAAGGTTGATGCTAGTGTGTGAGTGTGACATTCGTAAAACCAAAAATATGTAGGTTCACATGATGTGTACTTACATAAAGTTTTCACCACAATGCAGGCTCATGTATTGTGTTGGTTCCATTCACTGTTCCATTGATTGATTAATTTTATAGGCGACCAACCACTACCAGTACAATAATGTTCAAATTCGAGGTTTATGTAATTTTATTTAGATTATTTTATTAAATATTTTAACAGTTTTTTTGCCATCCAATTGCTGTCGTTGCGTACAAAGCTTTTTAAAAATAGTAAGATATGTCGAATCAACAACGTCTAGTGAAAGATGTATTTTTGTGGAGTATGGCTGCCGTATATATTTGTTTGCATTCGGATCTCTCTATGTTCAAATACCAGGTATGTGCTTTTTTGATTTGCTTACATGAAATTTCGTGCTATGGATCACTCAGTCTAATGCCTAGACTGTGTTATTGATTATCTTCTGATCACCAAAATGAAACCATGGACCATTCTATGTTAATAAATATCACCCCTCCCCCCTGCGAGGCATAATGAAATCGTCTTGAAATTCTAGCCATATTCCCCAATCCAAAGGAATTTTTCTAATCTCACAACAAGAGATCGTCTTGGACCTTCATTTTTCATTTGGCAGAGAACCATTTGAGGCTTCTGTAATCCCCTCCTCACCATATCATTTTTAACACTTTTTAGCCTGATGGCCTGGGTTAATTGCAGAATAAAGTGTCTAGATCTCCACTATGGCCTGAGAGATCAGTGCATCAGATATCATATCCATGTTTTCTTTAGGTCTTTATGGTGAATCTGGTCTACTACCTGCTAAAAACATTTTGAGAAGAGGTATTCATTAAAAAGATGTCAGTTGATTTTAGTTAAGTATAACTTTTTCCATGACAACAACATGGCCCTCCCAACCTGAACCTTGCATGCACAGTACACATAAATTGTAAATTGTATAATGTAATATCGTTAATCTGTATATACACATGATGTCACAAATCAACATGTTTGAAAATAATTAATAGTTAATTGTTGTATTTTTTTGTGTACTTTGATTTTTACACCACAATGTCATACCGGTGGTATGTACAAAATAGGTGCACTGACTATTACATAATGTTGAATGAGAATTAGGACTTTCAAATTGTTTACAAATTAACTGAAATAATTTCTTCTACGACAGAGGCCAAATCTTCAAGCTACAAGATGTTTCTTCAGAAGCCAACGCTAATGTGGTTTGTTCGTGATCTTGGTCTAACCACTGAGACAGGAATGAGTTTTCTTTGTATCATTGGTATATGTCTTGGTATACTGGGTATCTCAGGCAGGGCTTGGCGGAGTTTCATCTCGTTCTTAACCATGTGGTTTCTGTATTTTTCACTGTATCAAGTATGTATATCAATATGTGCAATGTATTAATCTTCTGGCCCAACAGTGTATGATAATAATATTTAAATATACCGCAGTAGAGAGTTATAGTTAAAATATATCATAGTTACTTTCAGTGGCGTAGTCAGCATTGATAATTTTGAGGCCCATATTCATATATTGATGTTAATTAACAGACTGTAAAGAGAAATTATTTGAAAAAATGACATGAATATGTGCATATAACCCCCCTCCCCAATCATCGTTCTGGCAAATATCGTTCGCCAGGGGTTACTTTGGTGTTATTTAGTTAAACACTGATAACGCGTTAATCCCTTTTTAAAGAGCGATAATCTTTGCGCGATTTATTAAGCGACATTTTGCTTTTGTTTCATGCAACGCATGAGATTATGTACAGTTGATCTATGATTGTAACAAAGAAGAAAAATATCTGCGTAATTTCCTTAACAAACAAAATTCGCCTCTGAACACAGCGATTTCGCAACATAAGCCCGTTTTCCAGCAGCTAGCTATATAGGCGAATTTATTCGCGTGAACAGATAACCCACACAGGCCGGACGCGATTTCGCAACACAACGCTAATGCAAAGGCATGCGGAAGCATGTAAATTAAATACTACTGTGAAGTACGCACCACATTCAACACAACATTCAACACGATAATCAACACGCATTCAACACGATATTCAAGATCACCATAAGACTTATTTCCATTAACGTTCCAAAATCAAATAATGTTTGAAACTTTTTCAAACATTTATTAAAAGGATTAATGCACTGATTAAATCGATCAATTGGAGTTTAAACTTTATAGCTACGTTGTAGTGGCATTGTAGTGGCATCTCACACGCTTGTTTATTTTATAGGTTGGTCAAACTTTTTTGTGGTTTCAATGGTAAGCATATAGCTACAATTATACATGTAGTAATGTCATCTATAAAAGATGGACAGATTACCATCTCAGTGGTAAAAATGCCCCATGGCAGCCATCTTGCTAGCAAGTGTTTATTGCGTGATATTCGTCATTTGTCATTACGTCTTTGCATTTCATGCTCTCTGCCGTGTGACCTATTTCACAAATGTTTTGGCATTTGCGGAGATAAAAATTCATTTCAAAATAAATTTCATTTCTGTTATCAATTAAAAGCCAACAAACGGCAGATAGTAAAAGTTCACAGGCAGCCATCAGTTCAGAAAGTGTCGTGGCTTGATATTTACATTTGGGAAAAATTTGAGGACAAAAAATAATCTCTAGTTACACTTCTGATAATACGTATTCTCATTTTATAGTATTTTCAATTTCGAAACGTTGATTCACCCGCATATAACTGAGCGTAAACAATAGTTATTGTATAGTAATAAAAATGTTTTTCAGCTGCAAATGATATTCTGAGTATGCGCATTGCCATTGACGTCAATTTTCTACCGAAAACACACCGCCGTTTCTCGGGACTTTTTTTAACGCGCGACGTTTTATTAAGGCAATACTTAAGAAACTAGTCGACAAGAACACCAAGGAAATACCACCTTCAGTCGATATCTTTTGGCAATATTTTCAAACAAAAATCTACTAAGACAATTTTTTAACTAAAAACTCAAATCCTTACAGAACTCCGTTTTAGCTGAAAGCAAAAACTACAGAAAATATTACCCTGATCAGCGAATGATAAAACAGCTACTGGTGTTCGCTGATTTGATGTCTCAGGCCCTGCTCTCGTAAGATACAAGTGTTAACCACTCACCTGCAAATTTTGAGTTCGTCGGGAGTATAATTTAAATAAGATTATTTGTGCGTACCCGGTCACAGCTAGACAGGTTGAATTAAAAGGCCCTAAACGACTAAAAAATTGGTTGGATTCACTTGTATCCGGCTACGGGAAAAATTAAGGCCTCAGCCTTTGGCATAGACAAATACTTGATCTGCTCCCCACTCTCGAATTTGTCCTTCGGTTAAACTACGATACTGCTCTTTTAGTACTGCTATTGCTTGGGGAATAAATGGAAACGTTGCATTTTAATTTCCATTTCAGGGATATTCTGTTACTTGAAGCTGGGTTCTTATGTCTCTTGGTAGCACCTAAGAGGAAGGCAAGGTTTGTATAATCATTGGCGCAGCCAATCTGACGATTTATTCCCGCTTGCAGTAATATTTTAATACATTAATTTGAAGTCATAATTTTATATTTTGAAATTGATTGTTTTCACAGTAAAAACAAGCTACGCGCTAATAAAAGCGCGCTATTTCACTCTTGCTTTCTACTAAACTGTAAAAAAACAGTATTAGTTGTAACTTCTTGTACTGTTAGTAACCACGTATAATTCTTTCCACAAATCCTTCCTCTAATCCTTTTACTTTAACCCTTTCGTTTAACGCTTTCTTCTAATCCTTTCCTCTAATCCTTTCCTCTAATCCTTTAATCATTTTTCACAACACAATACAATTTTTACGCATATACATGTACAATAAAAGAGGGCATAAGTGTGACGGAGAAGAGAAACAGGACTTGCGTCCTAATTGACACCTGACCACAACATTATAACTAGACTTTGCCGCTTGTCGTTCACCAATCTATCGCAATGATAACATTCATATGATTCATGACGAAAGTACTGCAGTGATTAGAAATTATAAAAATTATAAATAACCATAATAAGCCAATCTTTCCTCCAATCTTTTCCTTTAACCCTTTCCTCTACCGCATTCCTCTAACCTTTTTCTAACCTTTCCCCCTAGGGTTCTGTCCAGTCCTCCTCATGATTCAATATCATTGTGGTTGGTAAAATGGTTGTTATTTCGGTTAATGTTTGCTTCTGGTGTCGTCAAACTGACCAGCGGATGCCCAACGTGGTGGGGGTTGACAGCGTTGGACTGGCATTACGAATCACAAGTACGTTTGCTATCTTTAAATGTGTTTGTAAGTATCGTTATTTAAAGTATAATGTCACTTGCGGTGAACATTACGGAACCTCGCATCAGATGACCTCTAACATGCATGTGATTTATTCATTCACGCAGGTCCAACTTAGCTAAGTTTCTCCCACTCGTGCAGGCTCATATTGTCAGCGGACAACTTACACAAAATTGAGAGCAAGGCGTAAAACAAAAAGCTTTTAATTTTTCATGCGAAGACCGCTGGAAAACTGAGCCCTCTTTACCGGGAGAAAATTTGCCGAATATGACCAACGTGATTATTTAACAATTTACGCCGGAGGCGAGGTGATTATCGGGAAATATTCACCGAGACAAAGTCGAGCCTAAGGCGAATAATTGTTTTTTTTTGCACAAGTGAATTGACACAAGAACTGCATTTCTTCGCTTATCTCTTTGTAAGAGACGTCCACAAAACGGCTAGCTGCCATTTTAGAATTTGTTTCATTCACCCAGTGAACTCAAATAAGACTAAAGCGCTCCCTCTGTCAGGAGTTTGAAGCCAAGATGGCGGAGCATGAAGCCTTTCTTGTAGGTATGATCCAGGCCTCCACGTGGAAATTTCGTAGGTAAAATGGCGGGAAATATGATTTTACCTTTGAAAGGGAGGGTACATATTAACTTAGATAAAACTATATAGGCTTTTGTGAAACATTTATTTATATGATTGTAACGGCATGAAGAGAGACTTTTTTTATTTTATGATTTTGACTTGTATTACAAAAAATGCCTCTTATATATCTAACTGTCAATTTTTTTACTTTTGATATGACATTCTCAAGCACTATCGTATGGTGTTACAACACTGGAATGTCTTTAGCACAAACACTTGCAAAAATCTTCAATTTTGTTTCCTCCCTCACAATATCTTTTGGATTCTTACCCATTTACACTACACTCAATTTATTTGCCTACCAGTACACAGGCCGAGCACGAATGAAATTGGTACGGGTACCCATTTTTGCCGACGGCTGTGGGCCGTGGCGACCAATTGAGTGTAGTTTAACGGGAATGTACAGTATGATTAACTTACTTTGTTAACTTAACTCATGTTTTGTTTCTAGTGTATTCCGACACCATTGGCATGGTTTGCCCACCAGCTTCCAAATTGGTTTCAGAAATTCAGTGTTGCAATGACGTAAGTAATGTTTTTTACAATATTGTGATTGCATACTCAATACAACACGGCGGCGAGTGTTGTAAACAACTTGTGAAATGAATTTGTAATGAATAAGATTTGAGTACATACACAAATCCGTTACAAACACTATTGGTTGTATTTTTCCGATACAACCACTAGTGTTTGTAACTGATTTGCTTATCTATTCAAATAATTTGTATGGGTAAATCAATTGTGATTTTTGGCACTTCACTCGATGCACGTACATTCTTGGGACCTACATCAATCTAGTTGTCTCATTTTTCCTTCAACTGTTCCTTCCTTGAATTTAAAGTGTGTATAATTCCACTCGAAATTAAACCTCTTTAAACCTAGAATTTACGTGAATCGAGTGAAGTACCAATCGTATTTTAGAACATGCTTCATGTAGCGACTTCAGTGCTCATAACGGTTGTCAATATAGAAACCCTTTCTGCAGTATTTAGTTGATTTTATTTTCATTTACTCTGGTGGAAATTTTGCGTGCGGTAAACATGTAAGATATTTTCTTCTGTATTATTTTCTAGATTCGTGATAGAAGGTCCAATTCCGTTTTTGTTCTTTGCACCAGTACGATCGCTCCGTATTTTTGCTTTCTACCTTCAGGTACATCATCCTGTTTTTTTTACACATTCTGCCATAAAAATACTCAGAATCATAACAAAAAAATAAAATGTACAATTTAGACAGTTCTAAAGACAACAGAGTACAACCCCCCCCCCCAAAAAAAAAACATCATGGGATGAGTAATAAGTAATTTGATGTAGCAAAGCATCCTATTATTTTGACTACGTATAGCTGCTTTCTGTCATTTTAATGCGTTCGATCTGAAGAACTATAATTAAAAAAGAATGCATGGCAAAGGATCCATGATTATATACGTACGTGCAGCTTTTTTCTGCACCAACCGTTAGTTTTACAGGTTTTTTATACGGACTAGTTAATTGGTCAGGCAAGTCTTCATTCGTATATATAGAGATTGTTTGTACACCATTGGTGTGACAGTAGACCATTGGTGAATCTTGAATAAGGCTTGATTAAGGGCGACCCGGCTAAGGTAGCCCTCAGTAGTCCATTCGTACGAATGGTGTATGTATTACCAATGGTAATCAAGTTTATCTATTCGTACCATCGGCCTTATAATTGCTTGGCCCAGCACGCTCACGCTTTCCTTGGTCACCGATCTCTATACTAGAGACTTTAAGATTGGCGCTTACGGCAAACGCCAAACAGCAAACAAATATTGTGTATTAATATATAATTCTATGGACAAACTGTGTGACACAGTTTAATGTGTGTTGTCCTGTTAAATTTAATTTTCTACTGCATCACAGAGACTGTATGCATCAGCAATTGAAATCATTGTGTTACTATATTTCTATATCAACCTTTATATCTAGCTTACATACAAAACCAGCAACATAAAGGATTTTTTTGAATACGGAAGTAAATCCTTAAAAATGTGGCGGGGGATCGTAGGATGAACCCTGCAGTGCCAGCGGCCAGTGTTGAAGCCTAGAGCAGTTGTGTGTCTTAGTGCCGGTCTACATACATTTAATAAAATAGTTATATTTACGTACCTAATGACCAATAGTAAAAGTCAAAGTTAATATCCTAAAGTTGAATACTGTCAAAAAATATATTTGGCTCCAGGCTTTGTTGTTCTATTATAAGTATTATTGTGAGTGAAGTCCAGGTTACATACGAGACCAGTCCAGGTTACAAATGAGTGTCTTCATCAGGGGTGATCTGATGTTGAGACTGGTTCCTTATATTCTCAAAATGATGTCATCTATCAATCAGATGTAAATATTCTTTTGGCAAAACTTCCGTCATCCCTATTTAGTGTACAAAGACTTGGATTAATATGCCAGGCTTCCAAACAACGCCTTTGTCCATAACGATCATTAGTGGTAATAACTTTTGAATCATTGCACGCAATGTTATGGATGGTTTGACATACGTGTTCCGCCAATGCGGATTTTAAACTGTCTAAGTTCGAAGCGGTCTTTTGATGTTCTTCTAAACGTGTGCCGAACTAATTTGTCTATATTTGCACGTGTTTCCTTATTAATATATCGGCACATATATCACTGACATATAAGAGCACAGCCTAACACATTTTTCGAATCCTTGTAAAATAATACGAAATCGCATTTAAGGAACGTGGAATCGCATTATTTACATAATATTCTTTAGTAAACAGATAGCGACATATTTTGAGACGCGACGGCACTTATTTAAATGTGTAATTATTGAGAAACGTTCTCTGGTTGAAATATTAATTTATTACAAGGTTTCGGGTATCACTCTATATAGAATATAAATGTGAAAGGACGCCAACAATGAAATAATTATGTCAAACTACATGTGAGTCGATATATTATGACTCAGATACATGTTGACATATGTATGACTATATAATGTACCGAAACAGGTATATAATATTTACAAGCAAATAGTAATTCCCAGGGGATTATTATCTCTTGTTATTGAATAGCGAACATATAGGAATAGTTTGTATGAATAGTACACCCTGTACCTTATTTTCCTTTTTTATGTATTTTTGAAAAAGGTTTTCAAAACTTGAAATCCTACTCGCTATGCAAAAATTTATTGTGCATTGACTGTGAAAACAATGAATTTCGAAAGAAATGAATAATGATAACAACATAAAATTTGCATGTATGCATAACGAAATTGTCAGGATTTTCATGCTAATAATAAGTAGATTTTTTAAAAAAAATATGACACTCTGCAGTTACCCTTTCAATTATTTGTAGAAGTAGTGTCACAGAGACACAGACCGCAATATAAAACTGGTCACGAGTACGTTTGGGCTACTGTGGTATACTGGTGTTGAATGTTGTGCCAGCTTCACCTTGGTTATTAAGTTTTGTGCGTTTAAATTGAAAACAAATTTTACCGAACACTTGGAATCATTGTATTGTTTTTGATTCTGATTCTGTGCACAATGTAGTTATTATACTCTTATTAAAGTAATTCGTCTTCGACTTCATGTACATTCGCCAGGGAACTTCAACTTGTACAAGGCGCTTAGTATAGTCGCACGGCGACTCGAATCCTCAGCTCGCCATGGCAGTCTTGCGCTGTCCACGAATTACTCGATCGAAATTTCTTACCATGCTTCTCCTTATTGTCTTGTTTTACTTGTACTACGAAAATTCCGTGTTACGAGTAAAAATAAAAACCTTGGAATATTCTAACATGAAGCGTGGAGCATTGGCAGAGGTGGAAAAAAGCAAGCAAGTTATGAACGACAAGGAAGATATCATTGCAAGTAATACTGTAGTAAACAAGGTAAAAGCACCGCAGAAAGTACATCAAACTTTAAAAGATTCAAGTGCGCTGGATAGGAAATCGACAGAGTCAGATCGAGTTGCCTTTGCGTCCGAGAATCTGTCTATAATCATCTACAACGAAGGGGGAGTACTGCCATCAAGCAGACGAGTTAAACAACTTCAGAGTATGTTCCCAAAATCTGCTTTCTTTTGGAACGATCATATGGACAAAAATCTTGCCACGAGCTTAAATAACATAATCAAGAAAGTGAATACAAAGTACTTTCTATTCTTGGAGCCGAAAGTGATGCCTTCAGACCGTGCGCAAGAGGACGTCGCTTCTTTATGGAATGCTTTGGAAGTATACCCCGGTCTAGATGTTATAGGCGGTTCGTATCTTGCTGGCAACAAACTACACGTGCAGTGCAGCCGCTATAGACTATGTCGGTGGACCTTCTCCGAAAGTTATGAGTATGTTCGTTTTTTGGACAATATTATGATTTGTGATGGGATATCATCCTCGTTTATGGCAAGAACAAGCAGTATACAAAATATTTCTTTGTTATTTGACCCGAAAATGAACGATATCACAGCCCTGAAGGATTTCTTTTACCGTGCTAAAGGTCATAATCTTGCAACCGGAACAAGACCCAGCATGATGTTCTTAAATAGTCAGTACAAAAGCTTGCACCAACTATGGACTTCACGCGCGGTAGCTGAAGAACTCGTTTCGTTTGCAGTCAAACACAAGGTGTTAATTTTTAAAGATATTGAGGGGAAATTAATCGAACTTTGCAGCCCATCAAGTTCCTTGAGCGGCAAAGGTTTGTGCATTGAACGAAACTCGCACGAGCTCTTCCTAGGTGGTGGGCACTGGGCATTTAAAGGTCTTTATGCGTATCCTTATTTATATCAATATCTCGTGACAACATTATTCGAAGTTACCGACCACTTGAAACGACATAACGTTAGTTACTTGATTGATGGTGGTGTTAGCATTGGTGCGATTAAAATGCATTCTGTACTACCATGGGATTCAGGAGACGTCGACGTACTGGTATTTGGATTAACTGTACAACAAATATACGACTTGTTTGAGCCACTTAAAGATCAAAAAGGATATGTCGTCCGTTTGATATCAAACCCAGAGGAGCAAGTGCAGGTTTTCTGCACGCCAAAGAATGTCGGTGATCTTTCGGGTGGGATTGCGACGATATTTCCGCGCCCGGGTCCAACTCCTGAACTTATGAAGATCAAGACTAATGGCAGATGGATTAATTATAGTAGAGCGTTGTTTAGATATTTAATTGATACCTATGGAGAAGATAAATTCCTCGGACATTCAATGTACGGAGGGAGAGAAACGATGGAGTGTAAGATAAAAGGACATAACGCTTGCTTGCCTAACTTTAAAGATTTCTTAAACGGGAAGGGTGGTACAGCACGGGAATATTTCTGCGAGATTTGACTATTCAAGCAGTTATCGTGTGGCCATTAAAAGATAAGATGGGTTATTTTTAGACTGTTATCTGCGATTCAACGAAGCGTGAGAGGACTTTATGACACCAAATAAGCACATGCGCATGCTATTGTTGTGGTGATTATACGAATGCCAGGATCATGTTATCTGCTCATTTCAATACCTCAAATTCATCTCACGATACTAATTTTAAGCAGAAACTTAATCAGAGTCCAGAGACCGCCATCTTGGATTTCTACACCGGAACAGAAAACTATATCAGTGGCATAACGTTTTTATGCCACCCTGTTGTCTTCCTGTAGAGTTCAAAACTATAAAAGTAAACGTTGAGAAACATAAAAAAATAAATGATAAAAATTGGTTCTACCTCAGCAACCGGGCCAGCCCGCTTGGAGTGTTTGTATGAAAATATTTTCATCCCACTCAGCGAGATCTCGCCTCTTTCGAGCGGGCCAGCCCACCTGTTTATATAAACAGCCCCTTAGCTTGCTTTAAACAGGTCCATGCTAGACTGTAAACACGGACAATGCTGCATGTTCATATACGTGGAATCGTTTAAGGGCGTTTTCATTATAATTTAGAAACAGCCAGGTGGTCCTCGTATATATTTTCACACGGTGTACCCAAAAATATTTTAGTTTCCTAGGCATTTTGAATAGTATTCCAGAGGCATAGGAAACCTCAATTGCTTATTGCTTTGTGTCAACGGTTTCGTCGTAATTGTGTTGGGTATGCAAATCAGTCTACTGATGCAGAGACACTGTATAATGAATTCTTTTATATTCGACACTTGTCGTGGTAACGTCGGACGAGGTATCATCGTGAGGTAATCCTTAGATTCAGTCGCTGTCTCAGGACTTGCACAAAAAATCTTATTTCTAAAAACATCATTCGAACAATTGTCGCCAACATCCTCCTGTCCCTATATTTAAGCACAATGGCAACAATCTTTTACTGTCCCATGTCAAGGAAACAAAGGGAAAAAATTGTTACAGGCATTTCACAGTTTCTTTTGTTTTTCTAAAAAAATATTTCGATGAAAAGAAATGACTTGACCGCCATTTTGGATTATTGAGGATATGCATGAAACTGAAAGCATTTTTGGTTGCCATTTCAACATCCATAATGAATAGGAATTATACGCACCTCGTAGACTATCAGCTTATATACGACTCGAGCTCGTCATTTGTTAAATATACTTATCCCGCTGTATTTGCGAGCTGCATGAAGCCCTCAGATCCACGCTTGTGATTCAGCGCTTGTTCCTAAATTAATTCTTCCATAATGATTTCCTTCATTTAATAGCCTGACGGCTTTTCTTTCAGCTATTATACGTATAAAAGCCTCTTTTAATATCTAAAGTTCAGGGGCCGGTTGTATATGAAAGCCGGATAGCGCTATCCACTGGCACTGGATAGTGTTTTTTTTTTTCAATCCCACTATAAATCGCCTGTTGTTTAATATAACTTTAGTCTTTAATTAAATCTTTGTATTTTTAAATTGAGGCTCCTCTTTAATAATTATTGTTTCCAAAGATGAATTTTATCGCTTTTCGAGAACGGATAAAAAAGATCACTATCCGGTGGATAGCGCTATCAGGCTTTCATACAAACGACCCCAGCATTTTATGTGCTGCGATCTGTTATGATGGCCTGTTAAAATTATGACGGCACATATTTCCATAAATATATTTCTTTATATACAGGTAATTTTCCAGCTGCTGATTATCGCTACCGGAAATTACAACTTTTTCAACTTGCTGACTATTGTCCTGTGTTTTTCCCTTCTCGACGACGACCATTTACCTTTCTTTGGTAAGTTTTTCGAGTCTTTCTAATTTAGTGTCCTTGAAATACGTAAGAAGATTATTGTTAGGATCAAATGTCTATATTTTAGAGTTTTGGGGCTGTTGTATATGCGGAAAGCCGGATAGAGCTATCCACCGGATAGTGGTTTTTTCAATCGCTTTAAAATCGCCAGTTGCTATATAACTTTGGTCAATCTTAGCATTAACAGAATGTATTGTAATGTTTTTTAAAATACCTTTAATTGGGGAGTGTATATTCGTTTATCCATGTTTACATATCATTGAAGCAATCCCGCGTACGAAAGGAGTTAGTCGGGTATAAGACGAGTATATGAGTATGCATCCCCCCCCCCCCCTTCCCTCCCAATTAAACTCCTAGCTGCGGCCCTGCATGGCAGCATCTTCCAGTAAGTTATCAGCAGATAGGGTATATAAAAACTGCTTTCCTAGACAAAAAAATGTTAGCATGAGATAGTACCAAAAATATTACCAGCAGACAATTTGATAAAATACAAGAAAAAAACCTGCTCCGAAAAATGACATCTTGTAAGCTCAGGATATGAGCTACAGACAACAAGACAAGAATTTTTCAAAATATCACCTTAAAATTCTTGTCTTTTTGTCTATATATAAGTGCCTTTGCCTTTATAATTATAGGATGACATTTTTCGGAGTAGGTCTTTTATTGTATGAGGTAGTACCTTCCTTACATTACACTTAGTCATGAAACTTGTAGCCCTATTATATTAGTCATGATTCCCCAGACCAGGTCCCTGAGGTCGAACGACAAGAATATTTTTTGTCTATACAAGGAGCTTTTAAACCATATTTGTTACAACCGTTGAGAATTTTATGTTGTTTTGCTTTGTTCTCTAGGAGAACAAAATAATGATGAAGCGACAGAGAAGTCTCGTCATGAAGCAACAGGGAGATCTCGTCATATCCAGACTATTGTCTGGTATATCAGGAGATGCACAGTATTTCTTGTCATGTTTGTGTTGCTGTATTGGACTAAACGTTTTTTCGCGATGAAAATAAACGGCAAGGATTTCATTTACACCAAAGTAGGTCAGGATTATTAGTGATTGATTATTAATTATTATTGATTGATCGTCGATTTGTATTTAAAAAGTCAGCCAATGGTAACGAATAAAAAATATAATTTTTAAACCTTTACAGATAATAAGTACACAAATTTAATCTTTGTAAAAGATCGATTTACAAAATAGTAGCACTAGAATCTGCTTAAATCAAAATCCCCTAACCTTATTTTGTTCTTTGTAAAGGCGATTCTCCATTACGTTCGCCCCGCCCGCGCGGGCGAAGCTCCCTTTGTTCTTGAGGCCGGTCACGGTCGCCTAGGCAGAATTTCAAAGGCCGCTTCGCCCGCGCGGGTGAAGCGGACGGTAATGGAGAATCGCCTTAACTTTAACCTGTCTTAGAGATGTACCTTTTCATTTATTTTTAGATTTCTCTCATCCACAATTCAATTATGCCCTAAGTAAGATTGTTCCCTTATCTATTTGGCTTGGCGCAATATCTCTTTCGTTTGAAATTGTCCGCAGTTTATTCAGGTAATTTTAACCATATTGGCTATAAGGATTTTTAAATTCGATAGATCGGAATGATGTTGTTTGTTTCATAGTATTTCATAGTTAAAGCAAAATGAGAGTAAAACTAAAGCTCCAAGGCTTACTATTGCCCAGAGTGAAATGCATATAAACGCATTTAAGAGAGTACAGTAACTAAAGTATTTGGAAAAATCGCCTTCGATTCTGATGGGTAATAATTGGGACTAATATTCCATCCTTGCACGCAGTATATAAATAAAAGATCATGTCAAATAAACCATTATTCTTACCTTTGGACACAAAACATAAGATCCTCCTTCTAAAACGTTTGTATGTCGTCCAAAAAATATGATTTCTCAGAAAATGTACTTTCTATGTAATCGTTGCAAAATTTTTATTTATTGCATTACTAGGTCGTTACAGAAAGCTGGTTTATCGGCAAAGATTTACTCATCTTTTCAATGCTCGTTAGTAGCTGTTGCAGCCATCTGGGTATTCTCTATCAGCTTGGTAATTATTTATTGTGTTTCGATCTTTTTTCGGAAAAAGAGCGGGAAAAATATTTTGCAGTAGGCTGAAAGTTTATTGTAAGGTAGCGTAATTCTATGTTTAAAAGTCATCCCTTATAGGTATGTCATATAGGAAATATTTTTGCGCTATGATTCGTTTCATGCAGGGCCGTAACTAGAACGATAATTGGGGGGGGGGGGGGTTTATTCATATATCAGTTTTGCCCGACGGATTTCTATTGTAAGCTATTGCACTTACAAAAAAAACCCGTCGGGTAGAACTGAATATATGAATAAACACACACCCCCCCCCCCAATTATCGTTCTAGTTACGGCCCAGGTTTCATGCGTAAAACTGGCTTAAGATCTCCTTTCAGAAAATAGTGAAAGAGCTTGGATGATTTTAAAATTTCATTCCAGTATACATTTTCAATGCACTTATTATGTTTAGGTTCCGTATTCAAATCTTGATAGAACCACACAACAGAATATTTGGCCTGTTGTAAGGAAATGGCATGACCAAGTTCAACATTTGGAAATCGCCAATTCCTATGGATTATTTAGAAGGTATTATTTTAAGCTTTTACGAAAATTATTCTGCATGCACAATGTGGAGAAGCAAAGATATATAGACTTCAGCTGAGGCATTTCTGTGCTTAGAGCAAATGAAAATAAAAGACATTCGTTTTTTTTAAATTGAACCCTCTGAAGCAGGCTTTAAACCTCGTTAACATCTTTTCCGTGACTTTTTTGTGTTATATATCATGCTCTCAATTTTTCCTTTTTCATTTTAATACATTTGTCAGAATGACAGGTGTTGGAGGAAGACCTGAGATTGTAATTGAGGGAAGTGATTCTCTTGATGGTCCATGGAAGGTACATATATGTACCCTCTCTATAGAGAGTGTATACTATATAGCTGTATGTTTTTGACTAATTTATCAGTTAACAAAACCTTTACAATGGAACTGAAGTTTTGTTTGTCCATGAATTCTGAAAAACCTGCCAAGAAAACTTTATAGAATATTCAAAAAACTATTTTAGATCTGTTGTTGATATATTGAGTATATTATGTTCCCTTTGCCCCTTTTTGCAATTTCAGTTATCAAGTTGAGGACGACTATTAAAATTTTTCATGCTTTTCAGGAATACAATTTCCGATACAAGCCAGGAATACTAACACATTGTCCACCGTTTATCGGTATGCGCGTTTTTTTGTTAATTAACAGTAGAGTATTTAAAGGTGTATTACAGTCGGTAATGTAAAAAACGCTGTGTTTACAGATTGCAAACTTAAAATATCCTGTCCTGTCAGAATATTTATTACTATTTTAGTTCACTATATTTCTAAATGAATAACAGATAGAGTTTATGTTCAAAGAGGTGCAAAACATACGAAATTTCGGCAGAAGCCGCTGTAACCTGTCTTTAAAATCAATATATACCTAACAGTCTTGTTCAAAATAGCTTTTTCAATCTCTATCATGTGAAGTTAAACCACTTCAATGATTCGCTCAATAGGCAACTTATATATTCAATATTAAATCATCCGTATTGTCTCTTACACTATATATAATCAATTTCTATTCATTCAATTGGTTCATATTTCCAGTGACGTAATTTTGGAATTTCAGTGCAGAAACAAATCTAACAATTAAAAAACGAATGATATTTTGGTCTGATCAAGAATGAGAGAAACTTTTTTTGCGAATTATTGATTGCTCCTATTCGCCCTAAACCTGTGATCGTCAACTGTATTAGTAATTTTTTTACTGTATTAGCGTGAAGTACGAATTTCTATTTCGAACGCTTTTCATATTTGCGTTCGACGAAGGAGAATCGTGACGTCACGGCTATAAATATACTATGTCGTTTTTGAGATGTTTGGCATTTGCCTCGCTCTCGTGTTTTTGCGTTTACTTCGACTTCCTGATTTCGTGCCGCGTCCTAATTTTATGTGCTTTCCGTATTTGGCGATATTAAGCTGTTGTTTAGGACTGGGCATTCGGGCTTTCGTATTCTCTGTTTAATAAGAAGTTGTACCAATTGTATCGATTATCTTCATCTTGAAGTGTTTGAAATATGAGTGAAGATTCTTATAAAAGCATTCGTATCTTGCAGTGTTTTAACGATGAGAAATCCGACCATGGTCGGACGTTCTTGCACCGAACGTTCTTGCTAATCTTTGATTACTTCTAGTTTGTATCTGCTCTCTGCATGACTCAACTTTAGCAAACTATTTTTTCCGTCACCATATTCACGCCACCGCCGCTATGTAAATAATATAGTGTTCACAAATCTTTTACAGCTCCACATCAACCACGACTGGACTGGCAAATGTGGTTCGCAGCTCTTGGTTCATATCAACACAATCCTTGGTTCGTACATCTAGTTTACAAATTACTTGAAGGTGACGCAGACGTTCTTCGTCTACTGGCCAAGGAACAACCATTCAAGAAACCACCACGTTATGTCCGAGCCCTGCTTTATAAGTACCATTACACCAAAGTGAACAAGAATATAGGTTCCATTGGAGATTTTGTTCGTAATGTCAGGTAATTAAGGTTGTTTCTTTATTAGTTTTATATCATTTGTTTCCAAAGGAAGACGCTTTGGTGCAGGTCCAGCGTTTAAACAGTTCATTTGTCATAAGACAAATATAATAAATATGCACTCATGCATAAGTAGTTTCATGTTTATGTAAGTACTGGACTTTTTCCCGTGACTCAGAGTCACCTAGAATGGTCATGATATGTGTCAGGATATGATCCAAGCTCAAATCCAAAGTGAGATCTAAACTTCACTCGTTTATCTTTCTTTTTTTTCTTTAAGATCAATCAAGTCTTGTTGGAGACGTGAATTCACTTCTGAGTATTTGCCTCCTGTGACGAAATCAGAGCCTACGCTGGAACAATTCTTAAGTCATTATCAACTTGGACCTGTAAGTATTAATATGCAAGTGCCTAAAAATCGTAGAGCAAGAACCACTTATCGGTGAATGTTTAACACTACACTGGCGACGTCTCTGAACAGAATTAAATACCTTCTGGAGGGCGTTTGCACGTTTACATTATCAACGCAGTATTAGGCTATAAGTGGATTAGGCTATGATAGGGATAAATCATCTTTGCGGACTGTTCCCTTATTCAAAATTGAAAGAGATGCATGTTTGTTCCGCAATACCACTTCACCGCGCCAGCCTTCTCTTCTCGCATGTACATATTTATGTCTAAAAGATATTGCTGACCTTTATTTAACAGAACCATAAAGATCGCGAGCTTTCAAGTGGACGTCTCCACCATTTTATTGTTTATCTTCGTTCCAAAGTTCTCTTAGTGGATCCTCTTAGATTTTTGGCTTATCTTTTCTTCACTGGCATCATTTTAAGTATTCTGACTGAACAAAAATACAAGATATCTTCTGCAGGGTAAGCCATTTAAATTTGAATATTTCTAGTTTTCTGCCCACCAATTAGTACCCACGGAAAAAAGGCCATAATTTGCATTAAAAGGAGTCCAGAAATTTATAACAAGTTTATTGCGGTGCAAGCTTCGTTACGAAATGTCTGAGTATCATCTGAACGAAAACATCCGCCATCTTGGATATGCAAATTTTTAGACTGGATACGTATAGGGCCAGTTCTCGGGTATTCCAACTTATATCCAACGTCAGAGCTCTAAGTCTCTGCCTGGGCTTGCAGTTTCGTTGTTTATAACGTCTACCCTTCTTGGACATAACGTAATTACATGTTTTTGCTCGCAAAAGTAAGAAAGGTAAAAATTTTTGGAGAAGAACTGTGTAGGAAAATGTAAACGTTGATAGTCTTTAGTCTTTATATTGCGATTTCTCCTAAACTAGTTTTTTTCTTATAGGAATTCGAAGGTGCACATCGATTAACAATTGAAGAATAATCAATGCATGGAAAATTTATTGCTGACTATTATTGCTGCAGCTGTATTTTTGACTGAATACAATACTTCATGTGAACATACTTTTTATATGAACGTTGGTGATTTGTGGCGTAACTAGAACGATTATTCATTGTTTATTCATAAATGCAGTTCTGCCTGACGGATTTCTTTTTAAGTGCAATAGCTTATACAAAATCCGTCTGGCAGAAGTTCGTCATCAATATCATGCAAAACCCGATGTCGCCCTAAGGCTAATCGTAGTTCTACTTTTCCATATTTGGCTCGTTAACCTTAATTTTTTTAATGTCGTTCGTTTTTTGTTCGCGAGCCTTTGGGGTTGCATCGCCTATACGCCGACGACGCAATTCGTCATACAAGGGATACTGAATTTGACAAAGAATGCTTGATTTCGGAAAAAATACTATTCTCCCCCTTAGCATGTGGCTAGCATAATTATAGCATCACTTTCGTGAAATGGAGCCTTGTGATTTGAAGAATTTTCATGAATTCTTGTAGTGATTGATTGGGGGGTGTAGGCTACATTTGAATATATGGATATACACACACCCCCCCCCCCTCCCTCCTCCAATGAAGTTGCTAGCTACGGCCCTGCCCGTAGTTAAATAAACCAGCGAAAATGGCAAAATAAAAGCTGAAAGGGAAATATTTTATATCGCAATATTTTGTTGTCGTCTAATATCAACCACGCTACTAATATATATATTAAATTCTTTTTTAACCTCTCTTGGCCGGTCTTTACGGAGAAATATTGGACCTTGGTCGCTTCGTCCTAGGTCCAATGTTCCTCGGTGAAAACCTCGCGCTTGTTTAGCCATAAAAAGCTATCAAAAGTGACTTCGTGAGCATGCTGTATTTTTCATACCAATTCTTTATGTATATTTTTTGTACCAACTTGTTCGTTTGTGTGCTGCTGCATGTTCAACCGTAGCCGCAGGGATTTCAACATATCATAAGTATGCCCATAATATATAATATCTTGATATTTCCCCTTTCGTTGCCAGGAGCGAAGCAATTCCCAGACATCGTACAAACAGATTGGCTAATAGAGAACCTACAATTTCACAATGCCATGCCAAAACTAGCGAACTCAAATAAGACTGGAACGCTCACTCTCTGACTTTCCCTCGTTAATGAGTGAAGCCGAGATGACGGACAATGGCGCGTAAATTTCAAAGATAAAAAAGAAATTGCCGCCATTTTATCTACGAAATGTCCGCGTGGAGGACTGGATCATACCTGCACAGTGTACCTACAAGACAGGCTTCAGTGTCCGCCACCTTGGCTTCAAACTTCCGACAGAGTGAGCGTTCCAGTCTTATTTGAGTTCACTGGCCAAAACCTAATTGTCATATGACATATATCGCGATGACTGTTATCACTCAACATGCATGTGGCCAACCACTAGGAGGAATAATTTATATTTCGATCAAAGACAACTTTATCTTTGATTTTCTTTTCAGTTTTTGAAGAGGCGGAATATCTCGATCAAATGACACTTTGTTCTTTCTTCTTTCAATCAAGGCAGTTTATCAAGAGGTGGAATCAGCTATATTTCCTTTACTCGATTTTCTTTTCGTCTGTTTCAGGGACCGCGAGCTGGTTTAAAATAGTGGCCCACGCAATTTTTCTGTGATATTATTCAGTGTCCAAGGAAAAAATAGGGGCTTGCTTTTTTCCCCTCCCCTCGCGTACAGTCCATGGAATTTGCTTAAGCATGCAATTGCAAAAAAGATAGAGCGAATACTGGGAAACCTTCTTCATTGAAACCTTTATTAGGATGTGCTATATACGTACAGCAATAACAGTTCCATGTTCAATACTATATTTTTTTGGCCAGACATTGCCGTTGCCGTTTTAGACATAGCTTAGCAACGTATAAAAAGACGGCCTCTCACGAGACGAATATCTGATCGAATGAAATTTTTTCGCTTGTCCAAAGGCAAAGTGAATCCACTACATATATGGCGATTAGACATGAAAAAAAAATCGGGCGGAAACGGCTTTCTGAGATTCGATAAAAAATCCCGTTACGTCGTCTTAAACTACCTTGAACTGTTTAAATAATCATCTCTCAAATGCTAGTTCATGGATTATATTGTTAACTTCTCATCGGTATTGTTTCTAACCTTAAAGTCACAAGCTATAGGATGCCAATGATTGCTTGAATAGCCAACAAGAGTGGACGGACCTTGGATTTATAAGACTAAAAATCGTAAGATTCTTTTCTTTGTAATTATCCGTTAAGGCTAGTTTCCACTCAGGAAAATCTCCTTTGGATCGGAACGGACAGGAAAATTCCTGTGTCGGTGAGTTCTCAGGCGGCGTTTATACAAAGGAAACTTTCCTTTCCTGTCCTGTCCGACCCAAAGAAGAATTTTCCTGAGTGGAAACTAGCCTTTAGTTAAACTAAAATGGTAAGAGGAAGTACGTCTGCCGTATACAGTACACACGGATCCTAAAATGTCAAATCATATAGAAATAGTTGTTGGCTTTTCATACATTAAGATTATATATATAGGCTATGCCTATGGACTATTATGTATGTATAGATATATATGTACTGTGAAATTTAAGATCTTGATATCATTTTATTGTAAAAACTGAATGAAAATATGTCACAAGTTTTTCCCCCTTGTTTGCAATTACCCTCTATACTCGCTATATCTATCATTTCCCGGTTAATGCTGTATATATTACTTTTTTAAAATATCATAACTACGGTAGTTCATAATCGTAGTTTGCAATTAACATGCACTTCGTCGTCTAAATTTTGTCCCGTCTTTTTATCACCTTGAAGCATAATTTCCCATAAAGCTGTGAGCTTATGCTGAGTTAATTGAGTACTTTAATGCATAAATGTTCAAACAGGGACGTGATAATTTAAGTCATTTTCCCGTCAATCTGCATTCGCAATTAAAGCGTAGCGTAATTATAGATTCCTTGTATGGACTGGCTCGGTGTTGTCATCTGGCGTCGTTTGGAAGACGGTCTTCGTTTCATAAACATATACGAAATATAATTGTTTCATCTAAGAATTTTCTAAATGTTCATCGAAATTTACTGGCAGAATTAACATCACTTTTTCTTCTCGTGTGGCTGCGAGCGAAACAGATGTAAAAATAACGAAGTCGAAGACGTGTGATTCTTTGATTATTTATTATTTTATGCAAAAGACGGTCCACAAGCTGACGCCAAACACACGTTTATCGCGATAAATTATGGAGTTAAATTGGATATCATTGGTTGGCTTTGCAGTGTAAACATTGTATGTTTGTTTTAGTTTTCTTTCTACTGATTATATCGAGCATCCTTTAACACGTATTTATTTCTATTACGGGTTTATGAATATATTTTAGCTCAGCCCAGTGCTACCTTCTTCCTTACATAATATCAACAACCTTTGGCCTTTTGAGCATAATAGTTGGCAATATTCATTGAACTTTTCCATCAATAACGATCGTTTCTCGCGGAGACGTGTGCGTGGAATTACTGGCGTGAAAAAATTATCTGTATTCTTGCACGTTACAACCTGTTTTAAAGTAAGCCTTGTTGATGTTAAATACATACTCTGTTGGCTTGATAGATCTTTGGGTTTATTTATAGTTTTTACAATGGAATTTTCCATTTTTATCATTGCAACTTTTGCAAATTCTGGTTTCGCAGTAAAACGGTTAATCTGCTCTCACTATATGACATTGATATTTCCCTTTTTTGTGTTACAGATTTTATCGAACCATATCAAACATCGACAATTATATAGAAATATTGTTTGTATTGTCTTTGCAACCGACTGTCACTGGAATTACATTGGAAATAAACTTTCCTGTATATACTTCGCCAAGATCTGTTTCACTGAAGGGCGACAAAAATTCTTAGACTATAATCTACGTTGGAACTGTTCTACGTTGGAACGATAACATGCGGGCTCCTTAATCGACTTCATTCTTGATTCATTAAGAAACCGGCGACACTGTGAAAGCACGGATTATACAGAAACTAAGTGGCATTGTCATCGGACGATACTCTAGCTGCTCAGATTCAATTCAAACTTTTTGCTGTCGTGCCCTGCGTTGTACTGTAGCTAATCTTGATTTCATTGAAGTTTACTTTGCGATTAATCATACTCTTCAGGGGCCGGCAATTTCTCAAATGAATACAACCTAAATACTGTATACTTGTGTTCCTGTAGACATTGTATTATTGAAGCAGCAATCTGTTTTTATCGGCGGCGGTCGTGGTTTATAGCTACTGTGCCGTACTGTGTTACAAACAAAAGTTAGCTGTTAGTCCAGTTCACGTGGATTTCGCTTGAGTTACTTATATCTACCGCCGTGATTCCCAGCATTCGTTGATATATTGCACTTGTGAGCGATTTTGTCAACGCTACAGTGAACTAGCTGATTTTTTGTCAAAGACGACCTATTTGTCGCTAACGACAATACGACTTTGTCTTACCGAAACCGCAAAGCAACGAACGTTGCTGGAATCCGCGATTAAAGTATTTCTAGCTATAAGTCATGGTTTTGGCTTTGTTGGTGTTGTAGAAATAACAATAACGGCGTTCAGTATATATTATAGAACTCGGCTAAATCATGGCAACATCACAAACAGAACCGCAAACCGAATTTTCAAGCTGTGTTCGCAAAGGAAGACGGAACGCTTGTGCAGAAATCAAGTATTGTGTATGTGAAACCACTGAAAATCAGGCAGAAGGCGCAACCAAGCCTGAGAATTTGACTGGATCATGTCCAATTCATCATGAAGCGGATAATAGAAGTTTATCTTCAGATAAAAATTCGCAATGATCGAGGTATTTCCCGCTAAACCGTGGGGTAATTATAAATTTCCATTCAACTTTAGCTGCACTTGCAGCTGCCGTTTCCATCAAGTTGATCTAACTGTCTAAACATAGAAATTTCTCATTATCTAAGAAAACCATCTCATCAGTAGACAGTACGTAGACAAAATCTAGTTTTAGTTATTTTCTGCATTATAGGAAATAATTATTGATGCATGTATATCGTTTTAGCTAATTTGAAATATACATTAATTAATCCATGTTTTTGCCTGTACGCATTACGTAACTTATTTTGGCTGCATGGCTGATAACTGTACCTATAAATATATATGTATTCCGATAATTACTTTTCTCGGCTTAAAACTTTACGTTATGTAGGGTTAATAAGCCGGCCGCTTATAAAGACTTTTAGTCGTAAGCAGTAGCTTTATCATGCATGCATGTATACTTCGTCCCTTTTTGTTGTTTCAGAATTGCAGAATAGCAGCGTGTGATGCTAAAGCGAGCATGAATTTAGCTAAATTTAACACGTAAAGGCTAGTCCCTTCAGTTTTGAATCATAGTAAATATATATCCTGAGGGAAAGGTATCCCGATTTTCCCCCTAACGGTTCTCGAAGTTACCCGAACTCACAGAACGTAATAAATCCCGGCACCCCATTCCACTTTCGGTATCTACCTTTTGATGTATGTTATTTAACTTTTTTGCAATCTGCAAATGGGGTGAAAATACATATTTCTCAAAATGGCACTGGAATTTGTTTTCACTGCAAAAACCGTTACTGAATGCTGATTATGTACTTCAGGCATCCAAAACAGAAATGTTGAGAGTAAGTGGAACGTTAAATGAGATGTCGTCGGAGCATTTGTCAAATTTGGACATAATGGCGATTGATCATGTGTTTTTAAGCAAGTGCATTAATGAAACGTCAGGTAAAAGTATAGAGAAATGATGCATGAATTATGTACTTTTCCTATGAAATATCCTCTTGTGCTACGAAGAGGTACAAACTAAAACAATTCGACCTCTCATTCACGTTATAATAGAAGCAAACAAATTTGCCTCGTTGACAATGTCAGACATTTACATAATCAATTTGTCGACAATTTTTGCAGCGATGGACGGGTGCTGGGGAATCTATATAATTCATGAATCATGTATATCAAAATCACAAAGGTAATTTGAGCTATTTCTTTGTGACCATCGATATGTGGTGTTATGAAGTATGTATCTCCATTTACCTCCAGGCTCCAGCTGCTCTGATCTCTGATTGATTTAAGTGTGACCACTGATGTATATCACTATATGCTAGCAATTAGTAGGTTTTTGCAATAGAAATTTACCGAAATTTTATTTTTCACAGCATATGATTACTTAACTATATATCCTGGCATGTTAGAAGCATATTAGAATTACTGGATGAGGGGTGTAATTGGTTGAGAGGAATACATGGGGATGTTTCATTAATTAATTAATTGTATTGTAGTGCAATTAATTATTATTAATTACTTATTTTCCAAAGATAATCAAAATAGCCGAATTTGCATACAAACAAACCGCTTTGGAGGAACTAAAAACGGGAACGCGAAACGAAAATACTATCTACTGAGTCTGAGGTTACTAAGAATATTAATTTGGTTAAGAAATATTAAATTATTCCACATTTCCGAATATATTCACGGTCGGTATTTAACATGCATGTTGCTGCATTCGTCTTGGTAATTATGTCGTTCTCAACGATGGATCAACCCGTCTCTCACTATGTCATGTCACGTATAAAAAAATTAGCGAATTTTAGAAAAATTCTACCGACTCTTCGGACGAAAATTTAGTTTTTGAATTATTGTAAAATGTCACTAAATTATTTTCTAAATTCTTTAAATGTTTCCGCCTTCGTGGATGCCTTTCCTCTAATGCCATAAAGCATTAGAATATGATAGAGTTATCTGTAATCTCTGCTTCCTTTGTGAATATCCCAAACAAAACACCATGTGTTTCCACCTCAGTGGAGTACTTTCCGGGAAATTCTCCAAGATTCTTATGTTGCCAAATATCGTAAACACTGAAGTGTAAATTTGCATCCCAACCAAGATCTTCGCTTGTTATTGTGATCTCAGCATTTTCTGAACCACGGTTTAACAGGATTGCAGCCATATTACCATCTTTCAAAGGGCCAGCCCAGATTTCAAGGCTCCCGTTGGTACGAACCTTGTGACCTTGAACCCCGAGTGGATCCTGGTTTACAGAAATAGCGTCCGCATTTGTGAGTATGTTTAGTGTGTCGGCAGGTATGTCTCGTATATCACAGCCAATCAAAAGAGGGGCTTTCATCAGACACCATAGGCTAAAATGTGTGATGTATTCTGTAGTTGACATCTTGCCGTTGCCAACCTGCAGCAAGGAAGGATTCGGCCAAAATTTAGTTGAACACATTAATTTCAATGAACAATTCTATACGTACTGCAAAAAGCTAGATCAAGGCTAAATCATGCACCATGTTTCAAAACATAAAGAAAATAAAAGGCATGCTATGATGAGACTAGTATGAACATGTGGCGATAAAGTCACTCATTCATTATTCCAGTCAATCTGATCGCTCTTGCATCAACGCTTCGTTATACACAAGGTGCACTGATACCATTAATGTGCATACATTTCCATAAACGAGAACAAAAGTATGGAAAATGAGTATACTTCTCTATCAGCTATCGCCTATGATCACACAGCGATGCCGAAGCTTTAAAATACAATGTGCTTGTTGGAGAATCTTTTGATCTACAATGCATTCTCAAAGCTCGAGATACTTTTATGCAGTTTATACGGTACTACATGACGTACCTCTAACATATCTGGGTCATTCCAGCCACCAGGTTTCGCGTATTTCCACCATTTGTTATTTTTATCAGAGATAGAAATCATTTTGTCCCAATTGTCTTTGATATCCCCTGTAGTCCTCCAGCTATTTCCAACATCGCCTGCCCACGTCGCAGGATCATCAACACCCCATTCACACATGGAAAAGAATATAGGGCGACCAGTCTGAAACAAAATGTGAGGTCATTTTCTATGTTTCCTTCCTACTAGTCACTCGGGCATTATTCAATGTTGTATATATAGCAAGCATATGAACACGATTAGAGAACGTCACGTGATCCACCTCTCTAATTATCGTAAAGGTGAAGACCAAAACCAGTCGAGACGTTTTAACCTAATACTCGCTCCGCTTCACGCTCGGTGAAGAGGAGAGTGACGATAACTACGGGAATAAGCACGGTCATACTAGTAGGCTATCACGTACGTTGGTTGCGAGAGTCTTGACCTATCTCTTGACTATAAAGTAAATGTGTTAATTATAAATTTATACGAAAGAAGACGAAGTCCATTCAATCCGCACTGTCGGAATCAGCCTTTTGATGTATGTTTTTTTCGTTACCACAGAAGCGCGAAAATTTCTTTTAAATAAAGATGGCGAATTTTGTTTCTAAATTCTAAGTCGAGAACCAGTCAAAAATATACCTCCAAACAAACAACAAATACACTGATACATCGCCTACATTCCAAGATTGAAGGAAGACTGAAGGTTAAAAAGATTTTATCGAAGAGGTAATTCAAATTTGCATAAATTTCGACTGAATGTGTTTTTAAAACAGGTCAGTTGAACATGTGATGTGAATACTGAATACCGAAAGTACAGGACTACAATATACAGGAACAGGATATTCTGTATATTTCATTTTGTATTACTACCAATAAATATTCCTAGTTTTAAAATTTAGTTTAATAGTGGAATGGAAAAATGGAAAATTCTGTCACAAATCCCAATTCGGCTTCTGCACGGATTGCCACGGAAGCCTGGGTAGTTGGGCATTGCCCAAATGCCTGGGTGCCATTTGCCATCCCCCCTTGCTGCTTGCATGGCGAACATATTAGTTCAGGGTTTAAAATATCTTAGTGATCTATCCACAATAAACATATTTCACCCACCTAGAGAATATATAGTTGTGTAGTGAAAATTGAAATTAATAGATATATGTAACTATTGTACTACTATGTAGATATTGAAATTAGTAGATATACATAATTCATATGGTTCTTCACCAAGTAATTCACCCCCAGATATGTCAATATGTTTATCTTATACTGTAGTATGACAACATGTCAGGGAAAACGTAATGTTATGAGACTTTATCATACTGGTATTTACGTACATCATGGATGCAATGTACCCATTCTGAGTCTAAGGTCCATCATTATGCATGTCATAAGAACCAGTTACATTTTTACAAACTTCCACATTAATCTTGATAACCCTTTCTTTTTACTCTTATTTTTGAAATTTTAATGCTCATTTGTTCTGTGGTAACATTCAATTTTTAATAAGATTATTGATAGTTCTTTGTCAACTAATCTAAACCCAGACATGTCAATGTTTATCTTCAGTATATACATTATAAATATAGCATACTGTTGATTTTACTGCAAAAACATTCCAATATAAGAAATATATGACCTAATTGGCCACCAATCAAGGTATACGTGTTTAGGCTTCTAACATTATGTATATTATCCCAGAGGGCGAGGGTACTAATTCTGCCCAGAGATTTTAATCATGCCCGGGAATGCAAATGCAAAATCAAAGTTGTCCGCCATGTCATAGACTTGGGTGTTTCTGTAAGTTATGTGCATGTGTGAGTTTAAGACATGTTAAAACTGGTAACTAACAAACGTTTGCAAGCGTGGAATTAGCTAAATTAAAATTTTGGTTCGTGTCAGCACAACTGATATTTTGAATAATTGAATTATAAAACTATTTTAAAAATATATTTCATTTGGGTGGTTTAAATGGTGAAAAATCTATGATTTTAAAGCATTTTGGAGTGTTTTTGAACACATAAATGGGTAGATTTTGTATGTTAAAGCATACAAGCATTTTGTAAATTTATCTTGTGGATTTATCAACAAATGTAGGACACCTTTTTGAATTGATTTGTCAATTTTGTTAAAATGATTTCTATTGGGGGAAAGCATTTATTTTTAAAGGTAAATCTGTTTAAAAAGGAATTGAAATATTGCTAAAAATTGTAGTACAGTATTTAAACTGTTTAATTGTAGCACAATTAATGAATTATGATTATAGTTGAATTTGTTGCTCAAGGGTTGGTTGACTTTATAATTGTACTTGATATAGGATTTAACTTATATGACTTCGATCATTCAGGAGAAACAAGTATTACAGAATTTCAGTGATGGAAAGATAAGTTTATTGCTTCAGGCGAGGGGATTTTGCATGCATGTATTTCTAGTACACTTTTTATACTATAAGCCAGACTATAGGGGAGGTTGATAAATTATGCATTTGAAATAAACTTTTTTATTGCAGACATGTTTGGACTTAACCATAATGAAAACACACTGGAAAAGTTCTGTTTTATGTCAACACAATTTTTTATTTCCTTTAACCAGTTAATAATTCATATTTGTGAAACTATAATTTGGGGGTTTAGGTACAAGAGCTACATAAAATTGTTTTGTTCCTAATATTATAAATGTGCAAAACCTAGCATAATAAAGGACTAGTGTTATATTGAGTCAGTGAGTGTACTATAACTGTGTGAGGTCTAATGTTGCAATATCAAAATGCCAAATACAAATATGGAATATATAATTTATAATACAAAGCTGTCATAATGTATAATTACCTTGTTCAAAGCATCCTCATAATGGGGTATCTCTTCTCTGGTTTTGACTTATCAGTAAAACAATTATCATATTTCAGATAGTCGATGTCCCAGCTAGCATATGTGTTTGCATCAGACACTTCATGGTTGAGTGAACCTGGGCGACCAGCGCATGTTTTGAAACCTGCATCACTATACACCCCAAACTTTAACCCTACTTTATGGGCAGCATCAGCTAGTGGTGCGATACCATGAGGAAATGTTGTAGAATCCACGATAATATTGCCTTCAGCGGATCTATTTGCTGCCCAGCAGTCGTCTATGTTGACATATTCGTAGCCAACCTTCCGAAGGGGTGAAATTGATAGCGCCTGTATCGTTTTCAAGATGATTTCTTCGTTAATATTGCAGCCAAAATGATTCCACGAGTTCCATCCATCTGTGGTGTCAAACCAAGCCCATTGTTGAGGGAATTGACTAAAGAGCAGCCGAAAAAACAGAGCAAAAGTGCTGCCTTCATATTTGTCGTATCCAATTTGCAACTTTTATATTTATGGTAATTTGAGAACAAAAATTACCAAATGTTCATATATTGGCAATACTTTATGTTGCGTTCACGTAATGGTGCAGACTACTAGATTTCATTGTCTTCTGCTGCATAGCTTTTGTGAAACAGGGTAATATTGGCATAATTTTACCATTTCTTGCACATTTGTGCAGTAAAATTTCCTTAGGAAACTTTCTTGACCAACTTCAAGTTTTGCATGAGAATAAATTCCTTTTCACGCAGACTAGAGACCACGAAGCGGGGGGGGGGGTTGGGGGTCGTGGTGGTTCACTTCTGATCTAATAGCTAGCGGGCTTTAACTCCTAAATAATTTTTCAAGTACATGTAACTCTTACATACCGGTAGCCAGTCATTTTGACCGATGAGAAATAGTCCGGAATAATTAATTCGTCATTGACTTGATTGTTTCGATCTCTATTCTCCAAGGCTATGGTGTTGTTAGTGTCGTCGGTTGTCTCGACTCCTGTCAATATCCTCGCACGCTTGCCATAACCATTTATCGTCGTTCCAATTGACCAGAAACTTTTGAAGTCTTCAGGAATCCACGCGGGACATCACCGTGAGCATAAATTAAGCTCCCCAAGTAAAGAACAACGAAAAGAGGACGCACGAGGGCATTTTATTTAATGGAAATCCACCAATTCATGTTGACGATGTTTCCATCAAATCCAATATACTGGATATTAGAATATCATGGTATAACCTATCATCCAAAGATCAGAGATCATGCCGATATTATACAGAATACTCACCACTTACCGTTTGGAGCACCGTCGAATACCACCATCAACCTACCAATCTTAATTTCATCGTACAAACCTTGTACAATCGGTACAAAACAGGTCCGCCTCAACGTTAGCGTGGTAAAAGGCATCAGCACAAAATGTCTATTCCAAGAACTCCCGAATAACATTCAGGACCTTGGAACGGATTTTGGTTGTCCACAGAATACCTCTTCACAAAGTTGGGTTGGAAGGAAACATGTGGTAACCATTTAACATTCAAAGATAACAATTGTTCAACGGTTGAAACCAAAGCATTTGGATTAAGGTCATAAAGAAAACTTGGCCAATATTTCATACTGAATCTTATAGTGTTGAACTTTTTCTGTTTTAATAGTTGTTGAATAATAGAATTTGCTCTTCTTTTTTCTAAATAAAATTGTTATAAAAGCACAGACATTTTGTTATATGCTGGAAATCATCGGAACCACGAGCATTTTTCAACACTTTGAAGATGAAAAAGCCACGCATGGAACACACGTGCGAGATGTGGACAGTGACAGAGTTGGTAGATACGCTAATATATTTGAGGCCAAATTGTCAGTAGTGCTATCAAGAAAACAAAGAAAACAGAGCACTACTGTAGTGCGATTTTGTTTGGCCTGTAAATATGCAGCTATCAGCCAACAACATTATGTGGACGTAATACGGTACGTAATACTAACAATGAGTATGGGAATGTGACAAATGTTTCACTATTGATTAGCTACCTATGGGAGATACCGCCAATGTTAGAATTCCAACGATTTCGACAGTTTAGCCATTGCAAGATAAAAATTATTGTGGTTACTCTTTCTGTATGAGAAAATGTCGGTGAAAACCAAAGCCACTCAACTTTAAGGGGTCTGACAGTCTAATTTTTTTTACTTTGGATATTAGACTTTAGGCTTACTATATTATCACTATACTATAAGCAAAGCAGAAAAGGTGTTGTAAGAATGAACACCATAATTACGAACACCAGACACACCCAATGATAGAAACTGGACGAGCTAAATGTCTTTTAAGTTAACCATGAAAATTTGAAAAGTTAGCTTTATTACTTTTTGAGTCATCGTGAGGTAGGGGAAATGAGAATTTTGGTTGCTAAGAAAGGCGACAAAAGACGTTTTGCATAATTGCATTTTCACAATACAATAGAATAAAGAAACAATAGAATGAGCCAAAACTATTTATATACATCCTAAATGGTTATATACATCCTAAATGGTTATATACATCCTTTACTCAACGTTAGGTGCAGTAGTTTCTACATTTACTTATCGAAGTTAAATGTCACCTCAAGGCATGACATGATTAACGTTTTCCACTGATTTCTTCAGTGTATTTACTCTATGCTCCAGACTGAACATTCTGGACATCCTGCGCTGTCTGTAAAATCAGGCGGATACAAACTGTCTAAAACTATCTCGTCTGTTTCTGGTTCTGGATCAACGTCTAAACTTGCACCAATCTACAAAAATTTGTATAAAATCATCACAATATTATGCTGGGGGAAAACTTGCTTCGAAGAAAATGAGATTGGCTTCGTTACAGGGTTCATTGTGATTTTAGGATGGATCGCAAAGTCAAAGTTTGAAATAAGTTTTTTTTGTTTGTGGGTTAGGATATTGCGATTATAATCATAATGAGGATTTGATTAATAATGAGGACATGATTACGGTTAGAACTAATGGGTGCATGCCAATAATGTTTAACAATGAAACTTTATCACAATAATGGTTACCTTATTCTGAATAATTGGGACGGGTAAAGAGACAACGAGTATTCCAAGAATGACAGCAACAGCTCCAAGCAGTTTTCCCGAGGTCGCTGATGGTACGTAGTCCCCATATCTAAAGCAACAAATGTATTAAAGGAGTAGAAGCTAAGAATGCTTGCGACTATTGTTCCTTATATTTTTTATTTCTTTTCACTTACCCCAGTGATGTCATAGTGACTACGAAATACCACATTCCCAAAGGCACGTGCGGACATGTGTCATCGAGATGATACAACAACACAGACAGGACTATTATAGCGATAATACACGTCAGAAGAATTAGCCCTAGTCCTCGCGCGGCTGACATTTTGACCAACAGTGTCTCGCAGATGAGAGGACGAATTAGCAATCTTTACTATGCGAATTACCCTAAGAGCATTACAGATGTCCTCTAAAACGATGGGAGTGTTTTCTAAACCCGAGAATACTATACAAGAGCCACATTATGTAAGCTGGTACGAGCGAAGCAAAGTACGTCGCAATGGGTACGGACAGAATAGGCCTTCTTGTTCTGGGCTTTCGAAAAGGACACTGCAAATTCTAGTGTCAAAATCAGAACGCATATGGTATCAAATATGAAGAACGTCTTGGCATAGAGGTCCCCGCTTTCTCGGAATTGCTGCTGCAAGGTAAGGTTTCAAGAATCTGCCAAGTATGTTGAATACGATACAGAAAATTAAGATGTTGGTCACAGCTCTTGATTACTTCTTGACAGCAAATAGCGAAACCATTGGTATCACTTAGTGATTCGAAGACGTTGTGACTGTTGCGTGACGTTGTTGATTGTCGCGCAGGTCGGTTTTGCTTTGCAAACTTCGTGGAATTAGTGTTATTTTCGTATTCCAGATGGAATTCAGCATAGCAACAGTCTTTCATGTCCAGCGGAATCCGAAGATTTGAATTCGTCGATCAATGCTTGGATGCATTCATCCATTGGAAAGTGGATCTTATCGTGCGTGTAAAACTTAAAAACATACCTATTAAGAAAAAAACATAACGATTCAATCGGCATGCAAGTTAATTTGATCATTATGTGTGAGATTTACGGTATGACAAAAGAGACGGTATAAGAAGAAAACCTTCAGCAAGTGATTGCCAAAAGGGTACATTTTGGTGGCGAAGCCAGCTTGACTTTGAGTCATGCAAAATGCAAAATTTGGCGTTATCATTATTCATTTCTTGACAAGTTGATTGTCTTCACAGTCCAAAAGCAATGAAGTATTTTCATTTGCATGACCAAAAGTCGGCTAGCTTCGTTAACGGGTAAATTGTAATTTTAAGCTGAATCGAGACAGTGAGTATTTTTTATCCGTCTCTCGGGCAAGATGATTTCAGCATCACACAACATTAACGTCTCCTAGTAGACCAGATGTTTGAAATCGTCTAGTCGCTATTAATTAATCATCAAATTATTAATGCATGACGACTTTTGCTGTGATGTTATCAACAAGTGGTTTTCTGCGCTTTGACGGAATCTCTAAAAGCATTCCCTGAAAGCAACCGAGTCTGTATGCAATTCACAGTCAGTTATGACTACAGCTGACCGTCTGAGCCCATATCATCATGTGGCAAACATTTTCGAGATCGAATTATTTTGCATTTGTTTGATGCCAGAAGTAAGCGACGACATGATTTTGTGTGATTTGTGCGACCATTGGTTTCACTTTGGTTGCGTCAATGTGGAAAGTATGGACGAAAATGAACAGTGGTTGTGCCCTGAATGCACGCCTCCTGCATCCTGAACAATTCATTTGCATGACGAACTTTCTGTATCATAGTATCGAAGTACTGTATCATAGTTAAATGTATGGATAAATTATTGCTATTCTTGTTCCTTTATGTAGTTAAGTATGTAGTTGTGTAGTTAAAATGTATTACTAAGCAAATTTTTTATATGAAATATATTTTCTAGCAAATATTAACTTTTGTTTTGGACTTTCGCGTGGGGGAGTGTCCGGGGGGACACTATCCGCGGGGGGACACTATCCGCGGGGGGACACTATCCGCTGTAACACCGGCACCGGAAAGGGTGAGATTTGCGAGATCAACAAACAGGCAAGAATGCGCTGAAATTTCTAAAATCTAAGAATAGTTTAGCTATCTATACCTTCAGCGTTTTCCATACACATAGCGTTTTGTATAACATGTATATAACATGTGTTCTGATTGGGCGAAGACGTGTTTGGATCAGCCCATCCAAACACGGAAATTTACTTAATTTGCTTATGGAAATCAAACTTGAAACACTACCTTGTTCTTGTTATTTTATATAACAATCACTTATTAATGGTTTCGATGGCCTGATCCAAATACTTAGTGGAGATGCTGCTTGAGTTAAGAAAAACTTGCTCACCTTCGGCTTGCGATCGTGTTTCACGCGATTTTCTTAACTCTTGCAACATCCCCGTTTGTTTGGATCAGGCCATCCAAACACGGAAATCATTAAGTAATTGTTTAATCTTTCATCTTGTGTTTGTAATAAAGTGTATGCGTCTCAGCTTTGATTAAATGAAAGTATTTTGCGAACCAGGGCATGGCAATGAGCTTCTCTGTTGCAATCTTACCGTTAAATATTTTCTGTGTAAATACATAAAACTTAATTATCTCTACTTTTAAGCGTTACGGGACATTATAATAGGGTGTTGAGTGCCTGGCCAACTATCTCATGTATGGCTTGTCAAATACTGTTTAAGGAGGGATTTCTGAGTAGGTGGCTTTGAGATAACAACTTTGGCCATTGAATACTGTCTCAATCCTCCAAGTGTTCTCGCTTGGAAATTGTTTGCACTCCTTTGAAATTGTTTTAATGGGGTAAGGGAGATCTGTTACATGCATATACGGATATTCGATAAGTATTCAAGTAATTTCCACTTCTCTTAAAAGGATGTATATAGTTCTAACATTGTTATATCACTTTTGTCAAAGATTCTTTAAGCCATACAATGATCTACTATATTACTAAGGGAGGGGAAACGGTGTAACGAAACTACCTTAAAATAACTGCGAAACGCATCTGCTGCTATGAATTTTGCGACAGAGTTGTAAGAAACGTTTCTTTGATAGTATGTAGAGCGCGCGCGAGGCTTTACTAGAACGCATACTTTTGAGGTTGCATAATCTTACGGAATAACATAATGATATCTTGCTATAACCATTCGTAAAGAAAGATTTCATGCATGACATGTCTAATTTAGTTAGTAATTAATTGAAATTTGAGTTGCAAGTTTAAAAGTCTAATTAGAAGACAAGTTAATGATTTTTTCATTATTTCCTGTATCAAGCGTTTCTCGACAGCATGCATGCACACAATTCAGTCGATTAAATAAACATGAGATATGTCTGCAAATTGAATGTTAATAAAATTAATACTAATGGGTGGAAAACAAGCTATTTGATTCCCGGCTTATTTCTCAATTACAGTTAATTATTATCTTTTATACCTGAACATGTCTGGATCACGATCAAAGAAATATTCCTTTCTTTTTCGATCAAAATATTTGTCAATCTCCTGTGTAGCGAGCAAGGTGTGAGGGTACAGGCTGATTGTTTTATAAGCCATAATAAATCTTTCTCCACCAACATTTATGACAATCTTTATCTTATTCAGTTTCTCCTTTAGGCATTGTTCCTGGCTATTCTTTAAGTTCAGTAAACTTTTGCCCGATGACGGAATAGAGAGGAAATTTGAGGTCCAAAACACTGCTTTTTCTATAGAGCTGTCACTCTCTCGTAAAAAGTCTTCTTGATGAAATATTGAGCGAAAGGTTGGTTTCCGTCGCCTCCAGTTTTTCTTAAGAAGCGACATGATTTGTTTGATGTTCATGTATGCGAAACAAAAGTGTACTCTTGTCTATACATATTAGCCACAAGGCCGAGAAAAACATGCTTTCAATTGACCAATACGCAATCACCAAATTAATTCTTAATTTCATGTGGTTTTTCTGCAAGTCCCGTGCAAACTCGTCTGATTTTGATGGCTTGTAAAGGCATAGGAAAAAACGTTACAGGAAATTACAAAAATATATATAGTGCATTTTGAACCACAAAATTAGCGGAACATTGTTTTAAAAAAGCTGTAATATATGTTTATAACAAGGTATCTTTGCTCAAAACCTTGCGGATACATCTGTATATGTAAACTTCATTACTAATTTCTTTCTTTTAAGCATGATCTCTTTTATTTTAGCACGTTTGCGCAAAACACAGTCTATTTCGGTTATTTGGTTAACCTTATCTATCTTAGATCTGCATTTTTAACTCTTTTCAATGCGCAAAACAAGATAAATTTTTAAAAAGCATCACTTATTTAATGTTTTGCTTATTTTTGTGCGTTATCAACGACTGATTGTGTGTTTTAAAAGTCTCACTATCAATGTTAACAATACTTTCGAGTGTGTAAAATTTGAGATCGTTCTGTAATATGATGCTATGCTCAATAAAATTATTTACATTTAACTACTGGAGGTAACATGGAGTATAACATGAATAAGACTAAGACTCAACCCTTATAACTAGTTATACTAAACTCCTACGGCCATCACGTACCGTGATGTATAAGCGTGGGATGAATGATTTCTAATGAGTTCTATAAGAGATAACTATTAGGTCCAAGACCAAGAGTGAATCATTTCAGTAAAATTTTTTTAATAGAAATTTCAACTATGCATGTGTTTGAATGGTAAACAAAAAAAACGAGAACTAAAATATATTTCAATTTTTATAGAAGAGATCAATTTTTATAGAAGAGATAAAATTATGATTTGAGCGCCATCTATTATTTTCTATGACACTTGAGATTTCCACAGATTGACTTGGCGTCAGCCGTCATGGCGCTTTATATCGTTGTATTATCTTTTTATGCGGCTCTTTGAATATTGACATATCTAAAATATTGCTCTTTCCCTCCGCCCTCACCATCAATGAAGAATACAAAATATTTTGATTGTATAACGCTTCAGAATGATCTTTTATTCAACTACATGTCGGTGTTCTTTCTTTAACGCCGCAGAATTAATCAACATGCGTATTTTTTTGTATTTGGGCCTCGATTTAATTTGTTTTAATGACGTAATTTTCCCCAAATGCCGGGCACAAGTATATTTATAGTTCTGTTCTCAACGTCCTCGTGAATAAATAATGAGGCACGTTTCCGTAAAATTTCCAGACAGGATTCAATGGCATAGCTAATAAGACAACGATAATTCATTTACACACCACTTTCCGAGTGAGCAAAGAACGATTTTGATGATCCGCCAAGCTGAACGGTTGACTACAT